ATATTATCGATATATATACTTACGAAGTCGTTAAGGAATTCTAGGAAATTATCGTTAATAAAGTGTTAAAAAGTTAATAAACCGTTAGTTAAACCGAAGGGTATTACTTTATACCTATAGGCGTCGTATCTCGTCCTAAACGTTATTAAGTCTAGGTATTCGGGGTTAATCCGGATCTTATAAAAGGTTTAACGGATATTAAGCTTAGTAAAGATCTTCGTCTTTAAGAGATAGGTTAGTATTTCCTCGATTAGTAGTAGTAGATAACGGTCCTTCTATATAATCGTATTTAACTTATAATAGTTAATATAAAAGTAAAGTCCTTTATCGGCCTTTCTTACTAGTAAGACGGATACTACTTATAGTATAGAGCTACTCTTAATAAAGCCTTTTTCGAGGTTATTTATAATATAGTCTCGATAGGCCTTTATCTCCTTTAGAGATATCTTATATAACGGGCTATAGCTAAGGTCCTCTAGCTTAGCCCCTTTTACGAGGATAATCTTATAGTCGACTTCCGGTTAAAGTAGTACGATTTAATCGGAGGTAAACTTACTAAATATATCTAGGAAGTCGTAGTACTATACTAGTACTTCTTTCTTAATCCGTCCCTTAAGTTCCGACTCGTTATATCCGAGAGGGTCGTTATAAAGTAGTTCTATTACTTCTCTCTTATCCTAGATATACCTATTAATCTTATATAAAGTAGTTAATACCGTTAATATATCTTATTTCCGGGCGCTTAGTATAAACGCTTCTACCGAGATAACCGCGATATTAGGTAGTCGTTAGCGATACTAACCTATAGCGTCGTAAACGAGTATATAAGGACCTTACGCGTTACAACCCTTCTTATCCTCGTTCGGCCTTATCTATTTACGCTTTGGAGAATCTCCTAAGAACTCGGCCGATAACGGGGGCGAGTCGTTAATTAACCTTTCTATCTTAATAAGTAGCTTATCGTCGGAAGGATCGGTATACGGGGTCGATAAGTTTAGGGATCTCTTTATAATTACTAGCCGCGTTTCGAAAGGCTAAGGCGGCGGTAGTAATAGTTACGAGAGCTTATCGATCTAATTAAGGATAACCTTTTCTACTTCGCTTCTCTTATATAAGGCGGTCGTTATCCTATCTATTTAGTAGTATTAATCTTCTAACTTTATTGCCGCCTCTCGCCTTCTAACTTCCTCGTCCTACTCCGGTTATAAGGGGAGTTTACCGGATTCGTTTATTACGATAGTTAGTACGAAGTTCTAGTTTAGCTATTACTTAAGTAGAAATAATAGCCTTCGGTATCTCGAATCTACTAGGATATTATAGTAGTTAAACTACTTACGGCTAAGGATAAGGTTATACCTAGTATCGATTACTATAAAGTATTTATCGGGGATAAACCGTCCTTATATAAGGAGTATACCTTTTAGTACTTAGGTAATAGCTTAGATAAAGAATTCGTTATTATCGTAGCCGTCGATATATTATAGCTCGAAGTCTTTATACCTTTCTAAGTATATATATTTTATTAACCTTTTCGCGAATAACTTACTTACGAAAATATAACTATTTACTCCTATATTAGCTAAGGTATCTTTAGTAGTTAGTAATAATCCTTAATTTACTATCGAAACTTTAATAATAAATATAGTTCCTTTAAGTAGATAGTTTAATAAGTTAAACTATCGTTTAAGGGAAACTATTACTACCTTTATTAATACCGTAAGTATAGATACTAACCCTAAGAGGAAGATCTTATTACTTAGGGTATCTAGTTTTCCGAATCTCCGGAGGCCTACGATATAACCTATACGTTATACTTATCGATAATTACTTAGACTTTAGCCTCCTTATCGGCGAAAGACTTACCGTCGCCTACCTTCGTCGGGTACTTCTAAGAGCGGTATCCCTTTTTACGGTAGATAAAGTAATATACCTTAAGGATAAGCTTCTTTATATCTTTATCGCTAAGCTTTATAAAGGAGGCCGCGGTAGCGGATATATAAAGGGCGCTAGCCGTACTCGATTTACCTTAAGTTAACGATATTATAGTAGGGGTTATTTTCGTAGTCTTATCCTTATCTTTTTCCTTCGAGGCCCGGGACTTCTAATAGTTCTAAGCGATCTCGGAAACGTATCTAACGTAAAACTCGAACGAGATCGAGTTATCGAGGTACTAGGCGTTAGTATAGTTAGCTAACGATACGGGGATCTTCCTTTTAAACTCGAACTTTTAATCGGTCTTCGGCTTCCGGGCTATATTAGTAAGACGGACGAACTTATACTTAAAGAGTATAAAGTCCTTTCCTATATAGTTTATCTAAAGGGTAGTAAAGTCGTCGAAAGCCTTAATATACTTATTCGGGTCGTAGTATTTATCCTAAAGGTACTTTAGGAAATCTTTTAAGGTATTAAGACGGTCGGGGTTATCGGAGCGTAAATATAAAGCGAGATTATTTACGGCCTTACCCTAGATCTATCCTTTAATATAAACCTATTTACCTAGGTTATTATTAAAGTAATTAGTATTAATAGCGAGCTTATTCTTTACCTATCGGTACTACGATTTAAAGGAAAGGGTATCCTTATCGGGGTTATTATAAAAGATAGGTATATTATCGATCTTAATAGTACGACGGGCGTATTCGGAGTTAGTCGTATCGTTCGTATAAATTAAGGCGGGGGAAGCCTAACGACGGATAAGTAGTATAATTAAAGCGTTTAGTTCGTTAATCTCCTTTTCGAGGTCGGCTACCTTAGCGTTAGTATCGATAAGTTCTTATACGGCTTAAGCTAAAGCGATATAGTCGGTATCTCGATCGGCGTTATTATTATTAGGAACGTTATAAACGTATCGGACTTTCTCGCTATTAAGGGTATCGTACTAGATAAGAAGGTTTTCGACCGAAAGGTTTAACTTAGCCGCGATATCGTATAATTAGTTAATTTAACTATTCTCGGCGATTATAAAGTATATTAAAAGCTTTATTTCGGAGAATAAGGTATCGGGGTACGAGGTAACGAGCTTACGGAATATCTTAATATTTATCTTACCTTTAAATATAATAGTCTTACTTATAGCCGTTAGTAGCTAGTATAGGAACGACGTTTTACTATTCTTCGTTAGAAAGGCCTACGTAAGGCCGTTAACTTTACTTTTAAGGTTTTCCGTAAGGATCTCGAAGTTCGCGTTATATCTTATAATCTCCTTAAAGTAACGGTCGATTATAACCTTATAGTATATTTATAAGTTAATAGCCGTTTACGTTACGTTATTATTATTAGTTAAAGTCGTAGTTTTATTTATATTAGGGTAGGGGAATGTAATCGGATTAACTAAAGAGCGGCGGAGGTAAGAGTTAACCTTGTTACAGTTCGTAGTTTATAGGATTAGCTTTAGGAAGTCGTCGACGGTATATATAACTTCGTTAAGGGCGGTTTAAAGGGTAACGGTCGCCTATACCTCGTCGTCTTTAAGCTAGCCGCTTATCTCGGAAGGCTTAGCTATATTAATTATTAAAGTACGATCCGGTTAGCTCGCTTCGGGTTACTTATCGATCGCTTCTTTTCCGTAGTCGGCTTCGGTATAGGATATTCTTTTCGTAGTCTTCCTAGGCGAGTAGGGGTTAAGCTTAGTTTTATTACGGTACTAGATAGCTAAAAGAGATAATACTGTAATTTGCTATCTACGAAGCGGAAAACTAAGCTAAGGAGAAGAAAGAGAGGATTTACCTCCGTAGGCCGAATTACTAGAGGTAGGTAATTACGTAGGAGCGCGTATAGGCTACCTAGGGAGCTTAGGCTATACGGGAGCATAGGCTATAGGGAGGTAAGGTATATAGTCGCCGTAACTAGCTTCGTATTCTTTATAGCTAGCGGCCTAGTCTTATAAGGATTAAAGCGATAGACGATAGTCGCCTAAAGTACTACGGAGGCCGAGTATACGGTAGTTAACCTTATAGTACGGGAAAACGTTTAGATATAGGAGTTCCTTACAGAACTCGGCTACGCCCTTACGGTACTAACGCCGGTTAAGGTAGATAACGAAGCCGTAATTATCTAGAGTATAAAGAATATTACCCCCTTATAGAAAAGGTATATTAGCGTAGCCTATTATTACGTAAATAAGTAAGTAACGGCGGGCTATATAGTACTCGAGTATATACCGAGTACGGAGAATATAGCGGATAGCTTTACTAAGGGCCTTAATTAAGTTAAATACTAAAAATTCGTAGAGATATTAAGGCTTAAGCCGGTAAAATAGCTTTACTTTACTTCGCGAGGGGGAGTATTAGGAATTATAAAAGGGGCGATGTAAGGTACGGACCTGTAGTCGCTTAGGTAAAGTAAAAGGACTGGAATCCTCTAGATTAGCCCTAAAAGGGTAGGGAATCGTCCAGATGGATATATAGATAGATAAAGGCGCTATACTTGTATTTAACCGAGGCGCGCCCTATCTGGGCCCAGTATTTAGTTTAGATCTTTACACGCGACTTAGAGTAATTTAGTTACATTACCAGATGCACTACTTTGGCCATACCTTTTGACATAGAAAAGACCTTACAGCGGACCGATCTCCGCCATCACATATGACCTCTCAATGCTTTACGCATTCGTTCTTTTCGCACCTGTCATCGGAAGAAATTAGACTGGAGCAGCCATTACCATTCCCTGCCAATCGACGAGAGGATTCCCTTGCGACATTGTTCCCCACGATAGCCCATAAGCCGGCTCCAGAGTCGACCCACATCCGGCCAGGAACTATATTCCAGAAGCTTTACATTGTGGATCATTCGTTCGTCCGATGGGAACGGGCTCACGGGTTCCAGGTTGCTCCTGACCTGCCACTGACAAACAAACGGAGAGCCAATTTAGGTGCCGGAAAGTGATGCGGAACGGGTGGACATGGCAGAACATGCTGTATCTTGCCACCATAGTCCAACGAAGAACCCAGGAGGATCACCCTGCAAAAAGAAAGGCCTAGATACCAGGCAAAAAGAAGAATTTGCTCACACCAGGGATCGAACCTGGGACCTGTCGCGACCTACTTCAGAAGACAATCTTCTTGAAGATGTGAGGCGAACGTCATACCACTAGACCATACGAGCTGGTGATTGATGATGTGCATTCGTGGTAAGGGTCTCTAGATTCCCTGGGCACAGCGACTTGGCCACAGACAAAGGTGTGATTGTACACAGCTTCCTCTTGATCGCTGCTGTGATTTGGTAGGCGCGCTTGCTCTGTGATGGAGTAGGAGAAAAGGCAGCCCAAGAAAGTGCGCAAGTGGAAAAGGTTTACAGAGGTTGTTTTGCACGAACAAGTTTGGGTCGAGGGCTTTAATGTCGAGGAATTGTCGGGTGTATTGCAACTCATTATGAGTGGACCTTGTAAGTTAACTTAGAAACGATGCACCAGTTCCCTAACAGCTACATAGGTACCTATGTAAACTGTAATCTTGCCGTTAACTAGATGCTCCCTTCGCCATTACGTATACGGGAGGACTGGACTTCTGCATCATAGGGGGCCGTTGTCGGGCAGTTGGGAAACATTGCCTCCTATCAATACATAACACAGGTCTTTGGGCCGATATTCTGCTCACGGTAGAATGTCTTTCCCCCCGTCATGGAACATGAACAGGAATAACCTCAGTGCCGGTGCCCTCAAGACAGTCAGTTAGGGGCATGTCTTCTAACAGGGACATGGAATTGTAACCTTGAAGGTGTCTCAACACAAAGACAGGTGTCTTGGACCAGACAACATGCAATTTCGCATGGTTTCCGAGTCTTTCCCTAGTGCCAGGACACCCACCAGCTTGAGAAACCAGCTTGACAGAATAACTTTCCAGAAGAGAAATCTCTTGGTACCACCTACTTACTACCGGTACAAATGACACCATTCCCAAGGCGGAAGAAACGTGGTTGAACCTGAGGTACCATCCAGTCAGCTCCATCGCGCGAGAAGACCACGTTACCAACAACGCCATCTATTGACGGTTTCCCATCGCAACTGCCGGTTGCACCCAGCGTAAATAGATCTGTGTCGTCGCACAGATACTACCTGCCTCGCGCTGCGACACTGATTATCATGAAACATATAAGCGGACGCCATGACCCACCGGCGAAGGTAGGTCCTTTGCCTGAGACTTTGGGTCACCGGGAAAAAGACGAATTTGGTCCAGGTGAAGAAAAGGTGAGGGAGAGCTGTTCCCGGATACCATCGATGTTTGGATAAACGGCGACAGGGCAAGAGCGGGGGTAGGTATCGTCACACCTTGCGACCCATGGAGTTAATCTGGACGATGACCGGGGCTTGATACACATACCTCGAGATCATCAAACAGTCCGCCGTCCGGTCAGCCTCCCCCAACCGGGGAGGGCCACGGCGAGAACCACCAGCGTGCTGCCCAGGAACTCGCAGGACTTACACCTTGCATCGGCGAAACCCCCAACCGCCGGAACGGGATCCGGAAACGGCGACCGCATCGAACCCCCGCGGCGACGGCGACCAGGTATGCCGGGGCTGCAGGTATGCACTCTTTGAAGGTGAGAGCAAACCAGTGCGACTCGAATACCATGGCATCAAAGACGCAACATACCATTGAGCTTGGCCCCTCGGTTTCCGAGAGCAGCATGCCAACGCCAAATTGGCCCTCGTTCTTCCACCGAAGCCAGGAATGTTGGCATTGAAAGAGCCGCCAGGGAGCCACGGGCCATGCGAGAGATCAGATCCCCCGGCGTGCCCCGGCCCCGGCCGCGACGCCACTTCCGCGCACCTTTAGCGGGTTTTGCTTCCGGCAGGGACCACCCCGCGCCGAGCCGGTCGAGGCCTCGAGAAAAGGCGCAAGGCTTATCTCGCGTGCAAGCCACGCAAGCCGTGGTGTGACCGCTTTGGGGGTTTGTTGAAGTTGCACAGCCAATACTTCCGTCAGCCCAACGGTAGGGGCCACCTGAAGGTGAGGGAATGGTGAGAATTTGGGGGCAGGCAGCGATTGATCAAATGCAGCGCCGGAATCCGTGTGCTTTGTCGTGGGCCATCCTTTTCCTCAATCAATTTCTGGAAGCATGAATCATCATCAGCTCCCCAGCTCCAGTCTTCAGCGCAGCCCGAGATATTCCGCTCCAGAACCAAGGCCCTCCCGACTGCCGTTTTCCAGGTGAGGCAGGGTCGTAAAAAAGGCCAATCAAGGAGAAACCGGGATGGGCCTTTATCGCAACCCCCCCGATTCCCAGACCGGGATCATGCTGGTCACGTGACCGCGTGTGTTGCATCCAGGGCGAAGCTACCCCGCGCCGACACCCCACAGAGCTCTCCGATTTTTGTTTACCCCAAACACGCCGACGCGACGCCAAGCGCTCGTGGTCGCGTCGCCCTGCATTCTCGTTGTTTACATCGCACAACCACGGCGTGTGTGCTTTGTGTGCCGACGTCGCATCAGGATGAAGAAAAAAATGCACTTTCCATCGCGACACCACCTCTCTGCCCGCCGTGGCCCCGGCTCCCGTCCGGGCAACCAAACCCCCAACTACCGCGTCTGGTTGCGCCCGATCAATGCTGCTGTTGGACCCCTCTTCTGACTCCTGTCATCCTGCGACCAAGCCCCCCCGTCCTGTGCCGCACCGTGCCATGCCTCCTCTTCTTGTCCCTTCTTCGGTGCAGAACCTCAAACAGCGAGCGATCCGTGCAGGTGAGGGGAAGCGTCCATCGCGCCGTCGTCCGGCCCTCCTTATCGGCACCATGTGTGTGTGCCTGCGTGGGATCCAGAGAGACGGGAGACGCCATCCCCGCTCTCCGGCGGTTCGAGGGATTTCTTTCGCCGAAACCTGCTCCGCAAAAAGGAGCTGCCCTGACATGAGCGAGCTGAGCTTTCTCCCCCTCCCCTCTGTGCTAGCGCGCGGGGGAGGGGAAGCTTGGATCTGCGTCTGCTGGAAACGCCGACGGGCGCCTTCGGCGCTGTGCCGAGACGCCCGTTGCGTGTCGCCATTGGGTCGTCCGGGCATCGCGATGCTGCGGTCGGTTTCGCTGACGGTGGCCTCATCATGCGGGTCACTTGCACGCAGCCGTATGGATACCGGCTACTGCAGGACATGCGGAGGCGGTGAGCTTGTGAAGCACAACGCGGTGGGCCGGGCAATGCTCTCGGCGGGGTATGCTGCAGCGCCGGGCAATGAATGTAAACAAACATCGTCATGGAGGCCGTCGACCAGTACGCAGTAGTACCCCGTACCCCGTACTTCGTCGCCTGGAGGTTCCGGCTTTAACACAAGCTCGCGCTTGTTTGACGATCTCTCGCACCATTGCTTTTGCCCGATCGATGGCGCAAGAGCAAGGTTGGCGATGCGATGCTCGATGAGGATTGGCAGATGGTGACGAACGACAAGCCGCTATCTCGGTGAGATCTTGCTCAGCCTTGGAAATGCGACACCACCCCGCCAGGGGGTCTTCACCTCCGCACTCCATGACGTCCCCCCGCGAGGAAAGCCTGGGGATTGGGCTGTGGGTTGTTTACCCGGCCGCTGACCTTGAGCTATTTCCAGGCTTGATGCGAAATCGTCCCTCACCATGGCCGAGTCTGGTCATGTATGGGTTGCCTTGTTTCTGCGCGGGATCGTGATATTTTCCAAATTTAATATCTCCGTTCTGGCGGTTCGTTCAAACCGGACTGCACGGATACCTGTTCAGGTCTCGGTACCAGGCACCCGTGACGCCCTCACTGACTTCCCCGCTCATCAGCATGCTGGGCTTTGGCCATCCTTTCTCGAGTGAGAGAGGGAGTCGACAGTTTTCGAGAGGCCAGTGAGAACGCGCAGGACGCAAGGCAATGTCGCCGGGGGTCGGAAGGCTGGCCAATGATGGCAGAGAAAAGCCAGGGTTCCAAAAAAGGATGAGAGTCGAGACCCGCGCTTCGAGTGGCAGTGAGAAAACTTAAAAGGGCAAACAGGGATCCTGGCGCCATAGTGACCGGGGTCTTTCATATGCCACCGTCGAATTGGCGTTGGGGTGCGGCTCACTTGACGACCTGACGTCCTGGACGAGTACGTCGACGAGGTGGTCGGGATTGGATGAAGCTGTCTTTGAGTTGTCCGAGTCCTGTCACCGAGATGGCGCGTCCAAAGTCCCAACCGTCAAAGACTCGAAACGTCCGAACGTGGGGGAAGAAGGTAGACTTGGAGGCTTGGCCAGATGTCTTTCGTGAGCACAGACGAGGCTCGAGGATTGTAACGGCGCGCGATGCAGAGCGAGTGCCCAGGGGTCTGAGACCTTAATCACCAGCGAAGCGTGAATCTCAAGCGAGCGACACGTGGACGAAGGAATTGACGTGCTGGCGAATTCCATGATCCCTTCCTGCTGAACCTTTTGCCATTCCTCAAGAATTGGATTTCAATGGCCGACAGGGACGGTGCTCATTTCGAGAGGCCGTGGATGCGAGCCGGATCGTCCCAGATGGATTCCCATTGTGGCGAGACGACAGCGCCAAACTCAGCAAACACAGCGCCCGAAAGCGTCTTTATCCGCTGTGCCGTCAGCTGCAACGCTGGAAATGGTCTCCGAGACAATCATTCGCTGCCAACCCCGATTGCGAAACAAACCATCGCAGACCCCTGCTGGCGAGCCGGGCGTCTCAGCCGCTTGCTCGCAGGGCTGGTTGAGGCCGGGCCCCGGGGCGGTTGTCTGTGGGGAGTCGACGAGCAGCTGCTCTCGGTTTGTTTTATGCCTGTCCAAGCTCCATGTCGTTCGGGCACCGCCGGGCATGTCAGGTGCTGCTGGCTGGCTGGGTGATTTGATGGAGCCTTGAAGAGGCAATTGTTCAATGTTTCTTCGTTATGCCGACCCGGCGGAGAGGATCTTGTATCTGAGTTTTACCCCAGGGTATCCGGTCCTCGGTCAGCGCTTGACGTGTAGGTGGGTAGAAGGAAGTTTGTTGCCAGGACATGGACAGAGAGACCTCGGTGGGCGGTGGGCCGAAACAACCTGGGAGCTGGACGGACGGAGCCGGCGATGGGGTTTTGTGCCGAGTGACAGCCGGCGGAGGGTCGACCTGGTGGCAGAGAGTAATTCCCAGGTGTTGAAGTGCCGTCTTGCCATTGAATGTCGAATCCAGGGCGAAAAT